ATCCATTTAATATAAGCTTTTTATAAGATCGTCAAGTTTTCCCGCTTATAGATGGTGATGACTATTATTTATCTATTAAATATTTTCCGCATTTAAACTTTAATACATTTTTTTACTAAAATACTATTTTTCTTAGTTACAATTGAGGTACTTTAAAAAAATGGAATAATAAATATTATTAATTTATAAGTGTGATTTATATCAGCTTTTTAATTTTAAAAGAAAAAGAAAGAAACCAAAAGAAAAAAACGAATATTTGATGAACTGTGGACAAATATTGCCGTCGTTTTTTTTCGTACCATAGAAAAGTAAAGAGAGAAAATATCTACAAATGAAGAATTTGACAAAATCAAAAAGAATACACAGTCCACTGCTTGTGTGCTTTTGTCCCTTTTTATTGATTTTAATTAATAGCTTTAAATTTTAACTACAACTTTAAAATAATGTGTCCAACGAACCAAAATCATTAATTTATTAAAAAATTCAACAAATCACAAAATCCATATATGAATTTTTAAGCTTTTAAAAACTCCAAGAATATTTTTTTTTAATTTTTTAATTTAATTCACCTAATAATATTTAAATCTGTAATAATAAATATGAACGTCCCTGACGTGATTGGCAACAAGAAAACAGAATGGACGAGCATAATTGCCAAAGTGACACTGAAATTTCCTTCTTAGTAATTAATACATGCCATCATTAAGTCATTCAACACTTCACAGTTAGGTTTCGACTTTTGGCGTCCTTTATGGGTTATTATCAATTTAGCCCGCGCTAGAAATTATTTATATTCATAGTCGAAAAAGTATATAAAATTTGTATCATTTTTATATATAATATACAAAATGTATATATATACAAAAAATATAATTTTTTCGCATATTATTTTAAAAACGACTATACAGTATTATTTTCCCATCCTCTACTCCGTTGGATGAACAGGTAACTTCATTATCGTGGACTTTCTACCTAATTTTTTGTTCCTAGGATAATGTACAAAGTACTTAATTAATTAGTTAATCGTGGTCCAACTTATTAATGTTTTAGATAACCTTTGATGACTTCTTGAGCATAAGAAAGTTCCACTTGGAAAATTCTGCCACTGATTAATGAATCAAGATACACCACCAAAGCTCATAATCTAGTCCAAATGTTTATTATTACCAAGAGTTTTAATTTTTAAAAGGTTTTTTGGGATTCGAGGTGGGCAATATCAAAATACCTTGAGACTTTTAAGTGTGGCTTAGTTTTGTGAGACTTACGCTTTCAAATGCCGGATTGTGCGCTTTAAACATACCTAACGCTCAACGCTCGGGCTCATCTATGCCAATCATGGGTTTAATTCACTAATTAGCATTGTTAATTCTCAATTTTTTTAACAAATTAATGATTAAAGTTTTTTTTTTTCATCTATAGGAATATAAAAATTGTGAATAACTCAAATAACAAATCATAGTATTGCATATTTACTAATTGAGAACATCGTGAGGGTGAATATCATTTGAATATTTCTTCTGAAAATAGATAATCAAAATTTATATCTTTATTTACTGGATCTTCGTGTATTAGTTCTATGTCTTTCAAAATTACCATACATTTATTATTTTGTTATTTAAAAGTAACTCTGCATTTACTCATGAAGGAGTAATATTCACAATCAAAAAGTTATAAATATTTAGTGTATTTCTTGATATGTACACTACGTTTGAACAAAAATTAGTGGATTTACGTGAATTTAAAGCTAAATTTCTAAGTTTCAAAAACCTGCAAAACTTAGAAATTTGCATGTTTGTGTGATGATGAGAGTGAGATTTAAATTACATTCACTTTTTTAGAGTTCCTAATTTATATTAAAGAGAAATAATTTAATATTAAATTGAAATGCGTCTCAATACAACAGAATGAAGACCCCCCAAAAAGGTTATAAAATTGATTTTAATTAATTTTGGATTGACAGGCAGTTAATTGATTGATTTATTGAGAGTTGAGACAAAGAACATCAAGTTATTTTAGAAGTGCAATCTCTAACCATATGGCAATAGGAGAAATTTGAGGCAACCCGCAACCCCCAACAAACAACTCCTAGATGCACATGGGGCATGTTCTTTCTTTTCCTAGTCAAGTAGTTAAGAATGCATGTCCAATTATCCACATTGGTTGTTTGGCAACTTTTGTTGGTTTCTTGTTCAGTGTTCTGTACTCGTACTAATGTTTGATTAAATCTGGATTCACGTTAGGAAATCCCATATTAGAGATAAATCGGTCCATATCAAAAGCGATTTCTTTCTCAGGACTTGAATCCGAGACATCTCGCTAATAATGAAGAAATACTTATGACTCAACCATAACTCTCTTGTTGATAGTTATTGTTTGGCACTTGCTTTAATGCAATTCTTATCTCATCTAGAAACTAGGAACTAGGAACTAGGAGATGAATTATGTAATCCACTATGGGGGAATTAAGAAATGAGTGCATGATGAATGATTTATCTTTTTTTTTTATATAGTAAAATTTAGTTGGTATAAGCTATTTGCTCATCTAAAAAATAAGAAAAAATATCCATTTATAATAAATATGATTAGTAACTTAAAAAATACGATAAGTTGTCTAACACAACATATAAAATACATTAAAATGTGTGAAAATATCTTATACTAACACTATATATATATATATATATATATATATATATATATATATATATATA